TCTGGCATTGAACTCGGTTTCACTTTGTAAAATTGGAAAGTTTGCTAGAAGATGTTATAGATTTATGAATGCTTATATATTAGGACTTTCAGGAAAAGCTTTAATATTTGCAGCAAAAAACTCATAGAAAATTGCCAGAATTTGTTAATAGATGCAGATATATTATTATCATTGAATGTTGAATGTACTTACTAAAAAAGTAATTAATTCTACCCAAATCACATTCCTAAAAAGTCTTGATCGATTTCTTTAAACAAAAAAAAATTAGTATAATAATAATAATAACACAGTAATATCTATTATTTACGAATCATCCCATTCGATAGATGTTCATACCCACAACCAACCACCCAAAAGGCAGTAATTTCAAAACCAAATAAACATACCAAAACATATTTAGATTTTTAGGAGCAATTTGAGTATGGACAACTTAAAATCATTAGCTTGTTTGCAAATCACGATTGGGAAGAAATATATTAATAAATGAAAGCTATTCAATTTGTACATTTTTCCACATTTTACGACCTTTTACATTTGAAGTTTCATTACCATTGCTATTATTGTATATTTTTATTCATTGATATGAATGTTTATGTTATCACTTAAATTTCTTTGATAGTCTTGTTCAACACTTGGTTTAAGTCGTTTGTGGTCTTCCATTATGTCTTATGATGATGGGATTTGAAATATCGTCACTTTGGTTATCATTAGGTGCGTTATTCAAAGAATTTGTTGCTGATTATATATTTGAAAGAAATGCTTTCAAAGTAATCGTCAATTTATTTGTACATGTTGGCCTTTATTGCGCAATCGATAACTTCTTTAATAATCCAAGCAATTCTGCATATGCTGACTTGGATCTACTAGCATTTAAGAAGAATCATTTATAATTGAACGAAATAAATATAATTGATTTGATGTTGTCGTTTATCACTGTCATTTAGTACAGAAGAAACACATATTTGAATAGCTGAAATTTGTTGGATAAGGTCCATTTCATTAATATTTAATATTTGATCCTGATACCATCAGCTGACATGAGAGAGTGCCGATGAAGAATAAGTACCAACTCAAAAAAATAGTGACACACCATACCTTTATTAATCAATAACCTTATGAAAAAAACCGTCTAAAAAGGAGTCAAATATATACTGTACGTATGAAACATACAGAATTCAAAATAGTAAACAACGTGTACAAAAAGTACGGGATTGTAAGCTTGATGTTCTTTTTGTGAATGAATAAAGATAATAATTTATATAAAAATTAAAGAGTGTATGTGATGTTTAAAAATTTACTAGGGGAAACACAGATTGGAAAAATCCTCCAATTCGAATGTTTGGCTTGAGCAAAGGTTATGTAAAATTATAGCGTTTTGGAATTGGATGGCATACAACATTTATTATTATCAATGAATTAGTTTTTTATTTTTTTTTTTTCAACAATTTTCATAATATTAATAACAATAATAAACGTTTGTTATATAAATAATTTTAGCTTTGAGCAGATGAGTCAATTTTAGCAATATGAGAAATTAAATCAAGAACACGACATGAATAACCATCTAAAAGAAGGAGCGGAAAAAATTTATTAATTTTGATTGAAAGCAAGAGAAGAAATTAATTTGTTAACAACTTACATTCATTATCGTACCAAGCAACAAGTTTAACATATGTTGGGTTTAATTGAATTCCTAAATAAAAAATAAATAAATAAATAAATTAATAAATAAATTAATTAAATGGAGTGATATTTTATGATAACTATTACTTGCCAGCTTTAGCATCAAAAATAGTAGAATGAGTATTGCCAATAAAATCACTAGAAACAACCTAAAATAGGCAAGCAAATCATTTAAATAGTTAAAAATCAAGAATTATCTATCTGTCAAGAAAATAGTAATAATAGTAATATGATATATAATTATTGCAATTCGACTTACATCATCTTCAGTATAATCGATAATTCCTTTAAATTCATTTTCAGATGCACTTTTAATTACTTGCTTAATTTCTTCATAATTGGTTTCTTTTGCCAATTTGACGGTTAAATCAACTACAGAAACAATTGTTGTTGGAATTCTAAAGGCCATTCCAGTAAGTTTTCCATTTAATGCTGGAATGATCTATATTTATATAAGTGTGTGTGTGTGTGTGTGTTTATGTTTATAAGTTATTCATTTTATGTAAAAGTCATTCGTTTTAATTAATACTAATAATAATAACTAGTTACTTTTCCAACTGTCTTGGCGGCGCCAGTTGAACTTGGAATGATATTTTGAGACGCAACCCTTCCTCTTCTCCGATCCTATCATATAAATAATGAACGAACGAAAAAAATAAATAAAAATTCATTCACTTATTGATTTAATATCTACACTATTATTATTTACTTTTCCAGAGGTTCCATCAACAGTTCTTTGAGTTGCAGTGGTTGCATGAACTGTTGTCATTAAGCCTTCAACAATACCAAAGTTGTCGTGAATGACTTTTACCAAAGGTGCCAAACAATTGCTTGTGCACGTTGCATTGGAAACAATTTTATATTCAGGTTTATAAGTATCCAAATTAACTCCACAAACAAACATTGGTGCGTCGGCACTTGGTGAAGTAATAATAACCTATATATATATGTGCACATTTCACTATTAGAAATTCTCGTCCAAGATCGACATAAAAATTTTACGTTTGTTAAGGTTATGAAAAAATAAACTATGGAAATTAAAGCTTAAAGCCCAAGCTGAATTTTCTGATTGTTACTCTTTTTTTTATTTTATTGTCATAAAATTTTATATTAACAGTCAATATGTAAACTTTGGACTGGGCACTTTTTTTAAAGGTGGGAGGGAGGGAGATCTACATTTTCAAATATCGGATGACAAATCAAAACAATAAATTACTTGCCTTCTTAGCACCCTAAAACAATTCATTCAATAAAAAGAAAATTTTTATATTAATACCAAAGATAACGATAATAATAATAATAATAATCGTTATTTAAATTTTCTCAATATTCAAAATAATGTAACATACCCCTAATATAATAATAAAATATAAATTAGTTTTATTTTAAAAAAATTTTTATTACAATTATGATTACAACAATATATAATATACCTTTCAAATGAGCAGAAGCTTTTTCAGTGCTGGTAAATACACCTGATGATTCAACAACATAATCGGTTCCAATTGACCCCCATGGGATTTGAATTGGATCTTTTTCTGAAAAGACCGAAATTTCTTTACCATAAACAACAAATTTTCCTTCTTTGATTTCCACATGGCCTTTATATTTTCCATAATTGGTGTCATATTTGAAAAGATAAACCTATTCATTTATTAATAATTTAGTTAGGGTGACGTTAAAATATTTCTCTATTCTCAAACCTTGCCACGGTGGATTATAGCTAAATTCGCGTTATAACAGGTTTTTAAATTTCTGCTTCATATTAATATAAAATATATTAATATAAAAAAAAACTTATAAAATCCGTTATGACGAGATCAGTATTTTCGGCGTAACGTATTCAAATGAAATTCTCTTGTTATTATGATTATGTGTCCCGTGCATCCATTGTGACAAGGTTTGGCTTTATAGATATACATTAATACTGTTATGTCATACCACATAATCCAAGTCCATGAAAGGATCATTTATGCCGACAACTTGAACTTCGGGATTCTCAAGAGAAGCACGAAGTACAACACGTCCAATACGCCCGAAACTACATGTATATAAATAAATCTTGATATTAAAAAAAAAGTTTATTGAATTTAATTCATTAATTATTGATTAGTGAATGAAATAATCAATCACCCATTAATTCCGATTTTAATTGTCATGTTTAAAATAAAAGATTCTTTTAAAATTTTTTAAAAAAAAAAGGCTTTCTTTTATACTTCTTTTGGATGTATCACAATACAGATGATCCAACAGTTTCTATATAAATTAGGAAATAAATGAATTTTTAATTCATTTACCCAATCAAATTTCTTGAAATAATCTAAATATTTATGCTGTATTCGATTAATAATGACAGCATTTCTTGTGTTACATCCATAATTTTATTTAAATATTCAACAATTTTCGATCTTCTTTTTTTTAATTTTTTCCTTGTGAAAAAAAAAAAAGTTGATAATTAATAATGATAGAGAAGGAAAATACAACAGATATAGTCCCGGTGGTAGAAACAAAAAAACATAATGCTTCACTAATAATAATAGATCATGATAAAAGCATTAACGAAAATAAAAATGATCAACAGCAAAAGGTTTTAGAAAAAGTCGAAAATGAAGAAATCAATAAAGATAAAGATACAAACATAGCATCAACAGAAAATGATAAAAAAAAATTGACAGGAATGAGAAATTTTTATGTGATAGCAAGTGGTTACCTACTTTTTACGTTGACTGATTCTGCTTTAAGAATGATTGTATTATTAGAATTATTTCAACGTAGATATAATGTAATTTCCGATTCGTTTTTTTATTGATTCATTTTTTTATTTTTTATTTATTTTTTAATAAAATAAAATATTTTATAATGATTTATTTTTCATTTCTAGGCACTTGAAATCTCTTTTATGTTTATATTATACGAATTTATTGGAGCTTTTACGAATTTATTTGGAGGAATAATGGGATCAAGATTAGGATTGAGGTTTTGTTTATTAGTTGGTTTGACAGCACAAATAATTGGAATAGCCATATTATGTGGACTACAAGCTGATTGGAGTAAAGTAATAGTGATCATTTATATAATTATTGCACAAGGTTTCAGCGGTGTTGCAAAAGATATGGTCAAGATAGGTGGTAAATCAGTTACAAAACTAGTAACAAGTGATCAAGAAAAATCTAGATTGTTCAAATTGGTTGCTTGGTTGACTGGTGCGAAAAATTCGGTTAAGGGTGCTGGCTTCTTCTGGGGTGCTTTCCTCCTTAATTTTATTCAATACGTTCCATCATTGATTGTTTTATTGTTGATGAACTTTATTGTCATGATACCTGCTTGGTTTTATCTTGATAGAGATCTGGCTGTATCCAAGTCAAAGAAAAAATTAACTTTGAAACAAATCTTTTCCAAAGGGAGAGATGTAAACATACTATCTATTGCTAGAATGTTTTTGTTCGGATCACGTGATTTATGGTTTGAAGTTCCACTACCATTATTTATACGTGGACCTTCAATTGGCTGGTATGTAGAATAAATTTTATATAAAGAAAAATAATGATGAATAATAATAATAATAATATCTACCCTAATATACAGGTCATATATTCCAACTGGAGCATTCCTTGCAGGATGGGTGATATTTTACGGATTTATACAATCAAGTACTCCACAACTAATTTTAAAACCAATTAAACAATATCCATTAAAAAGTGGCAAAATCTTAGTCCCGTCAACACTTTTTCTACTACTATTATCAATTGGTGTAGCCATCGGATTAACTGTAGTCCAACTATCTCTATCCACCACATCAAGATATGTTCCATTATTGGTGCTATTATTGGTTGGGTTATTTCTATTTGCACTTATATTTGCAATAAATTCATCAATACACTCGTTTTTGATATTGGCATATTGTAAACGTGACAAAGTGGCAATAAATGTAGGATTCTATTATATGGCAAATGCTCTTGGTAGATTGTTGGGTTTAATTATTGGGGGGATTTTGTTTTATTATTTAGATTTCTATGCTTGTTTATGGGCATCTGTTGGATCTTTAATTTTTTGTGTTATGGTTTCTCATTTCTTGGGACCAATTCCTCAATCAGATGAAAATGAATCTTAAAATTTTATATATTAATATCTCTGAATAATTAAATATTACAAAATAATAGATAAAGATAAAAATAATATGACATACATGTACTTCATTTTCTGTTCTTATTAAATAATTTCTCTTTATTCATTTTCAATAATTCTGATTCACATATTTATTTCACTTTGTTACTTTATTTGTAGCAAAAGTAAAAAAATTCCAAATTGATCAAGTTTAAAAAATTGGGAGAATACTCAGTAATACACCCTTAACCCATAAAGTAGACGCTGAGCATTTGTCTCCAGAATAGCAAACAATTATTACATATATAAAAACATAAAAAAATTAGTGCTTCTTTCTAAAGTATATTGGGAATATAAAGAGGAATAATATTAGTTAATATTCATTCATTATTAACACTACAGTAATGTTCAGAAAAACAATAAATGCCACAATTCTGACATGCATAAATTTCCAAAACCTTTATCGGATTATATGGAGCTGTTTCAATAGAAACGAGGACAACGTCAAAATGATGTTTTAAAAACAAGGTCTGCGCTCAAGGGAGAATATCTCAAATTTTACTATGCAAAGCGGGTATGGTTTCTAAGCCAAAAACGTCACACCTAAATAGTCACATATATGAATTGTATGAACTTAAATCATGTAGGATTTCTAACCGTAATCCTAACTCCATATTCGAATATTTGTATAAACTCCAACAAACTATATTATTAATTTTTTCTTGTTCTTTAATTGATAAAGTTTCTTTTGGACATCATCAATTTGATTGTTCATTTCAAGCTATATCAAAAAATTATTTAATAAATTATATCATCATACAAATCAAAAAAATTACCATCATTTTTTATCAGATGTAAGAATATTATGGCATTTTAAAAATGATTTATACAATTGGTAGTTTCTGAAGTATTAGGAAAATTTTTTTCCAAATTCCATTTGGGTTTTGGAAGAATTATTTTTTAAATGAAAATGTTTTCTGAACAAATATTTTAATCGTTGTAAAAATATGAGCACTATTTGTTATCCAATTGATAATCAATCCATTTGTTAATAAGTGATATTCAAAACAAGTAAACGAGGTTTTGAGCAAACTTGGATATATTCCTAAAAAAGTTTAATAAGAATTGATTGACATTTTTGGGAAACAAAATAAAGGTCATGTATAATGTATAGTGGTAGGGTTTTTTATTTACATCCAATAGTCAATGACTAAAGTTTCAAGTTTCGCCATAATACTAACATAGAAAACCATTTCATTATTTAAAACATGATAACAAGAAAATTATGCCCCAAAGATTAAATTAATTTTTAGGTTTAAGAATAACTTTAAAATCAGTTACAAGACCTATGAAACTATCAATAAATTTGAGTTGATTTTCTTTCTCATAATATTCAATATCATAATTTCTCAATAAATTAATAAGAACTGAAGCTATTGTAATCCTTGCCACGAGACGACCAGGACAGATGCGCACACCACCACCAAAAGGTGTATAAGTATATTTGCCTATTTTGTCTACCTCACATTCTAGAAACCGTTCTGGTTTGAATTGATCAGCATCTTCCCAAAAATCAGGGTTTTTCTGCAATCCATTAATATTTATAAGAGTGTATGTACCAGCTGGCCAATTATAGCCACTAATTTCTGCATTTTCTGATGTTGTCTGGCGAATCAATGCTGGTGTTATAGTGTGATATCTTAAAGATTCTTTGACAACAGCTTGAGAATATTCCATTTTCTCATAATCTTCATGTGTCATTGGACGTTTTGAGTTATCAGCAAATACTTGATTAAT